CTCCTAATATCTAATAGCTCTTATTTTACTTTTTCTTATTATTCAAGAATTAATAAATTTCATTTTTATTTTATCCTCGAAAATATACTATTACAAATTTTATTCAAGAGATAGCATTTTTAGCATATTAATTTATTTTCGTAATAACTCTTCTGACCAGCTCACGATATCTAGCCATCACGTCTCTATTCTTGAACACCAGATGAGAAACACTTATGTCTCATCCTGCAAGGATGCATCTATTTTTACGATTTTCAACGTAACGAATCCCATAATTTCGCGACGTGTTCGGAACACAGAAGAGGCCATGTTCAAGATTATGTCTCTTAAAACGAGAAGGCGAGTCTAGGAATATATATACTCTGAAAGTGTGTCACATGTTGCCTTGATTATCCCACTCAAAAATGCAACACTGTGTGATATGGAATTTCGGCCAGCAAAATCGAGATGGTTGCAAGCTGAGAAAGAGACATGTTTTCGTTTCGCGAGTATTCGTTCATTCATAATTAACGGCAGACAAGCGCAAGATAAAACGGAATGCGAAAAATATCTCTGAAAACAAAAGTACAGGAATTATCAGGCTATCAGTTTTTCTTTCCAGTGAGAATTCTTCGCGTGCAAGCTGCGCCTGATACAGTCACGCGTTTAGAATGCGAATTGTCTATACATTCGAAGGATACGTCCTTCGATGGTAGAACTCAACTCGCCTGAAATGTCATTCACCTAAAATTCAATCGTTTTATTCCAGAATCGCGTCACGCACGATTCTTTCTCGAAATTCTTTCTATTCGATCCTTTCTATTCGAGCTTAACAAACGCTTAACGTCTGACTGAATTGTGAAAAGTGAGAATTCTTATTTGCAATGAATAAAAAGTCTGTTTAGATCCTTCGACGTTTCAATCGACAGATATTTTATCTTCTAGCTCGTGAACCTTGTGTGCGGATTTTCAGCTGCGTGGTGCCATCGTGAAAGCGGGCTTAAAATAACATTCGTAGTTTATTGATTTTCTCGGAGTTACTATGCCCCGCCAATTCACATTTGAACATGTCAGTCCGCCGGACAATCGAGACAATTTCCCTCTCTGTCATCGGATTCCACTGGATTTTGCTTTGGAAGAACAAAGGAAAAAAATCAGAATATTTAGTCGCGATCAACTGAACGAACAACTGAAGTATTCAATAACAGGAATTAATATTAGCTCATAGTCAGCAAAACACATTATGATTTGGTTATCACTTACGATCTGTGACTATGATGGACTGTATTCGTTCAGATATAAAAGCAACCGAGAAGATTTATTATGAACACGAAGAATTGATTTACGGAAATCAAATGACGTGCGATATGTACGAATATTGACTTAAAGCATCGAACTTCATAGTCTTCGTAACTTTTTGATGTACAAATGAACTGAAATATAATAGATTTAAACAATATAATTCAAGTCTGAAAGAAAAATCATGCGATCAGATATATCCAAATTAAAAATTAATAATGTCTGAATTTATTAATGATTACTCTAACAATTGTTATATGATTATTTTTTATTTTCTAAGAATCTAATTTTTCGAAACGTATTCAATTTTATTTTTATCACTACACAAGTTTATAGAGAAAAGCTTCTGAAATATTAAAATATTATTTGTTTTTAAACTCTGTAAAAATTAAAATGGACGTTGAATGCGGCTGCGAGTAATCTTTTCGATGAAAATAATTGAATTGATGAAACAATAGAATTCGTTGAACGATTTGCTCTCGGAATTTTTCTTCATTTATTAGATACTTCTCTGACATTCACGTGTCAGTTATTAGTTGAATCAAGTGTGTGTGTCTTCAATCAAGATGAATTTTGCCTTAATCTATTCGATTGACGTTAATGACGCCGTCAATATTTATTTTGACTACAGCTATCATGCCGTGACTCGAAAATAACGATTTGCGTTCTGAGTTATATTCTTACTGGCTATGCCAGACCGTGCCTTGTCACTATTTATCATTGTGAAACTACTGTGACACATACGCGTACGTCATCACATTGATATAATTCTGCTGATTCATCAACGCATGACATTTCTGTTACCGAAAGTAGAATCTCATTCGAGTTGCCGTCCCTCGATCTGTGTATATTATATTAAATTATTTAAAACTTGGAACAACCGTTATTGAGCTCTGTTAATCTTAATCTGACACAACTTGCCGATTCACTTAAAGGCATGATAGTGTCGCTTAACTTAGCATCAAGACACTACCGTGTCTCCATATAAATATTATTTATATAAAATTATAAATATTGCTTATATAAATATTACTATGTACTTATAATTTAATTTGAACAAGGAATCAACAAGAAATTTTAGCAACGAGAAAACGAAAAAAAAAACCAATAGAAATTAATCTTTTCTACGTTCTTATGCGATAAATAGAATGTAAAATTAATCTTTCTTCCAAATGTAATAATATTTATTTTCAGTATCGCGTAATAAATAAATAAATAAATTGTTTAGAAACTGAATTTGACAAGATTTTGATAATAAATTATGAAAGAACAACTTCATGAAAATGACAAAGCACGTGCGGAAAGAATGCTTTTGCTGAAGTGCGTATCTAAAAATTTTAGCTAGATAAATCTGAAAATAATTTTGTTTTAGATTACTAAAATAATTTTCTAATAATTAGCTTGAGCGTCCTACATAATTATTTTGATGGTAAACAAAATTATTTTCAGATCTGTATCTAGCAAAATCAGTTCCTTCCATCTATAATTCAAATATCAAATAATTAAAATAAAATTTCGTACAAAGCTGTAATTGATATAAAATTAATTTCTTTATGCGTGCTTACATGTTGTCCGAGGTAATAATTCATAAAAGTAATTTATTCACAAAACTTGCGAGCAGCAGTTGTTCATAAATATTGCTGAGAGCAATTAGCTAAATTGTCACTAATTGTCTTGTGAAAAAATTCCGGTTGTACATTGTTATGCGGTATACTCGTGAAAATAATTAACTGATTATATACATGCGATCGATAGTTTGTACGGTCACACCGGCTAAGAGCCAAGAGAAACCGTTCTCGCACCAAACACCTTGAAATGTAAACATGCGTAAACACGCGTTCCCTGCCTGCGAACGATCGATATTTCAGATCGTTCTCTCTCGCATTCGAGACAAGAACAAATATATTTCTGCCACACCTATTTTCTGCACGTCTTTCACATAAGTTTTTCAGAGTTCAACATCTATCGATCCGCGCTGCAGGTACAATGTTGCGAGTTTTGAAATTTTCAATTTAAACAGAAATGAATTGGTCGATCTTCCTTTGACTTGAGAATCGAAATATTGACAGATTTGACTAAAACAAAAAAAACGGTTAACTATTACTCTGAATAAAATTTGATCAATATTATCTGAACACAGAACTGCGGAATTACAATGGTTACAAAAATTGCTAAAGTAATGGTGCACTTATCGATAAAGACTTTTCGGCACTTTATTCTGTCTTTTATCCAACGCGAACTAAATACAATTACTTACTTTCGAGGGTCGTCGTGCAAGGTTAACCATTTACGCGAATATCAATTTTACTCTGCGTGACTGTAACTTCTTTAATCATGTAGAGGTAATGAATTTTCTTTGAAACGGCGAACTTGCAATGGTTTTTTTTTTACTATAAAGAGAGATGTAATTATATATTTAGCACAATTTATAAGAACATGTTATCTTTATCTCGTTATCGCTCGTTATCTTTATTATGAAAAACTTTAAATTTCTAAATTTATAATTCTATATTTCATTTCGTTGTGCTAATTGCTAAAGATTAATTTAAAATAACTTGGCAATGATTTTCTTTGCCATTTCTAAATTTTTTATGAATTTTTATGACAGGAATTTAACAGATAAATTGACTATTGATTAATATTGACTTATATTGATAAATTGACTTATATTGATTAATAATTGACTTATTTTGCCTGATAAATTGATTTAATTAAATATAAAGACAGAATTATTACATCATCATCACAGTTCTTCATACTTCCCTGACTTTAAATAAATTTGAACATTTTCTTTCTCAATAAAAATGATGTATAAGACCAATTTAGAGTTGAGATGAAAATAATAAAAAAAAGATTAGGCTCTGAAAATTTTTTATCTAGATATGAGCCTAGATATATTTTTTTGGAACATTTGACAATTTTAATATTATTATTCTAGAATTCAATTGCATCCAAAAAATTTTTGTGTAAAAATAACTATAAAAAGTAAAAATATAGTATGATTAAAGTGACAGTGATCCCATGCATTATTATATATATTACTATTTATGATTATTTGAACGATATTTTATACAGTACTCCGATTTTAAAAAATTAAATAAAAGTTTCATATTGTTATTGAATTAACGCTGATTTTGTTGTACTTATATATATTTTAAATTTAAATTAGAGAGACAACGTTCATCGAAATATCTTCAATTCTTTTTGAATAAATATTATATCGGAACATTGCCTCAATAAATTTAAAATTTAGAATACATACAATTATAACCAGTATACAACAAAACAGTGTCAATTTTATTAATGAAGTATTATTTGTTGATAGAATGGACTGTTGCTTAATTAGCTTTTAAAATCGGAATAAGATATCTATTATTTAACGATATAATTTAAATTTATTAAACAATTTAAAGATAAAAAAAATTAATTCTATACATTGTTTATAATTCTGTATTATTATAGTTAGAAACGATTTTACAGAAAGAAACTCATTTTTTATTTGACGTTTTTCTCCAAAGTAAAAAGATCTGTTTTTTTTTTCATTTCTAATTTAAGATATTTAAGCAATTTTTTTGTTTGCTATTCCTAATTTTATAAAGAAAACTTGCAAATTTATTTGATTGATACATCGATTTAATTAAATTAAAAATAAAATTATTTTGTCACAGTTTTAACTTGTAAATTAATAAATTTGAATGGTATTTTTTTTTTTTCAATAAAAGTGCAATATACGGGGCCGACGATCGTGCGCGAGGGACAACCTTGGAACATCGAATGCAGCGATTTGAAGGACGATGATCTCGTTAGATGGACCAGGAATGGTCAGACGTTGGAACCTGAGTTGTCCAGTGGTCAGCTAGTTGTCTTTTCAAAGACCGATGCCGGCAGCAGCAAGCTCTCGGCATCCCAGGCGACTGAGAGTCATGAAGGAGATTACAAATGCACCTCCGATAGTCCGGAGTCTTTCCACCTGTCATTATACTTTGGTAATGTTGTTTATGAGACGTATATGTCATTATTTTGATAAATAATACTCTAATCGTCTAAAAAGTCTGTCAGTCAAAAAATTCTACTAATATAAAGTTTTTTCAACACTCTGTACACATTTACGTCAGCATTTTTCTCTCTCCGCGACAATGTGACGCGCTTTTATCACTGTTTCCATTAAGAAGATTAGTATATTTCGCTATTACACTTACACATAGATTTATGCTCCTTCTCATCAATGTGACTTTAATCTCTGTTGAATTTACTCTTTATCTTTTTCTAATTCTTAGAACTTTAAAAAAAGATGAAGATTATAAGTTTAATCAAAATTAAAATCGATCTACATTGATGAAAACGAGTATCAATATTTTATTATCAGTTTGTTACATATGTATTGTAGATTGATCGAATTTGATAAACAGCTAAATATTGATTATCGGTTAAATTAATAAGTCAAGTATTTACACCTCTACGAAGATACGTGGCCTATATCTGAAATCTTTTCACAACATGTGATAATATCTGATAACTGAATAAAAATTCTCGAATAAATTCCCAGTTATTGCTTTATTGCATGTACAATTATTATTTTATTCACTTTTCTTTTCAATGTATTCTCTGACCAATTCATGAATATTTATTGCACTATTCATCGAGCATATTAAAACTGGTAACGTTAATTATCATCTACAGGCAAGCACTAAGAACATGAAAGGTTTATATTGATTACATAATAATAATATATAATCTCATTATTATAGACTTCAAATCGACCTTGTATTTATAAATAATTAATAATCCATTGTTGTATAGAATCGAATTATATATACATGAAGTTCTTATGAAAAAATCGTTATTATTATATTATTATTATATTAATCATATGTCTTTCTTATAAGATAATCTAAGATAATCATTATGTCTTACGTCA